GAGCCTGCCTGGAGCACCAGATACCGTTCCAGTATGGTGCTCCGGAGGGCCCACCCGCCTGCCTGAACTCCTTACCGGTCTTTTAAATCTTTGGCGCTTCCACACACGTGCATGGCACATACAGCACCTGCACAATACTCTGCTGAGCAGCTGGAGCATTATGGAGGCTTGCAGAGGCACAAAGACACATGCACGTGCTGCGCGCGTCCATGCGGACGTCACCAGGCCCGTTCCAACCATACCAGTTGGAACGGGATCCAGAACCCATTACTGTCATCCACCCTTCCTTCAGAATAAGGTGCAGTTACTCTCACTTCAGACTTATAAGGAATAGCAGTAGTAGTCATTACCAATGGTCTGGACTACCATTGGCGCACTCTTGCTGTGACTTTTTAGTTACAAACTCCAAGGTATTAAGGATATAAGACATTAAATCTCTGACATCTCCAGGAGCTCCTGGAACAGCTCTTGATTTAAATTTTGGAAACTCCTTGGCCATTAGATTAGACAATTGATTCATCGTAAGAACTTTTTAAGTTCAAAACAGCATAGAAATTCCTTCATCCTGGCAGGTTGGAAGCAATTAGGTTTATGAATAGAAGCTGCAGCCCAGCAAATATTTTCTCCAGATGTAGGCACTGATTTAGAGAAAAATATATTGTCACTACAAGCGGATTCATCCAGTTACAGAAATCTTCCATCCTCTTTTTTCTTCTTCTAATCACCAAATCGAACTATAGGTTACTCAAAAGTATGTGACACAAACCAGTCATTTGAAAAATTTTCTCATGCTTATCGTTCTTCACTTGAATATGCCCTTTTTTTGTTCCTTAGAGATGTTTCAAGATTTTCAACTATGAGGAGAATGGAATAGAACTCACTGGCATCTGATTCTTCTCTGCTTATTACGGTGTGCTATAATAAAAAATGTGGTTGCATTTCACTTTGTTTTACTAGTTAGTACAGTATTATACTGAAACCCAACAAGACAGACACAGACTTCAGAGGATAATCAGAACTGCAGAAAAAACAATTGCTACCAACCTGCTTTCCATTGAGGACCTGTACACTGCACGAATCAAAAAGAGGACTGTGAAAAGATTTACCAACCCCTCACATCCTGGACATAAATGGTTTCAATTCCTACCCTCAAAACAATGCTATAGGGCTCTGCACACCAGAACTAGACACAAGCACAGATTTTTCCTGAACGCTATCACTCTGCTAAACAAATAATTCTCTCAACACTGTTAAACTATTTTACTAAGTCTGCACTACTATTATCTTCTCATCGTTCCTATCACCCATCTCCTCCCACTTATGACTGTAGCCTTGTTTCTTGTATCCTTATGATTTATATTGTTTCCTAATATGATTTGATTGCTTATTTGTACCCTATGGCAATCATTAAGTGTTATTCCTTATGATTCCTGACGAATGTATCTTTTCTTTTATGTACACTGAGAGCAGCACCAAGACAAATTCCATCACACATGGCCAATAAAGAATTCTATTCTATTCTATTATTAAACTATAATACTATCTCTATCCATTATTTTTCATCTTATCTGTCTTCCAAGAAATCTTAATTAAGAATGCAAAATCAATGCAGAATCAAATTATAATTCAGGAGCATTGTAATGTATTTTGCATGTCTTTTTGTATGTGTTATATACTTGCTCAGAATTTTACCATATCCAAATAGGAAAAA